TTCTGAAAGAACATTGAGTCTCTATTTTTGGGATGAGCGCTGATAAAAAAAAAAGATGCTTATTTTAGTCATAAATCCATTCTTTGTTGATATGGGGTAGAGAGTCATCTAAATGTGGTTTTATCAGTCTGCTATTTACAATAACACACTTTCTACTCTTTATTGGTGCATAGAGAAAGGTCTGGGATCTGTCCGTTTTCATAATGTCAAGAAAGCCTGACAACGCATCGCAATGGTGAAAGAGGGACTATATTAAAGACAGAGGCGTGCTTTTAGACACGCCATCACAGCACACAGTGTGTTTGTGTGTGTGTGTATGAGTGTGTGTGTAGCCTACAGACTGCCTGTGTGTTTTGCTTGGCTCTGTGTTGGGCATTCCTGATATTCACTGATTTTACTGTTTTTTTTCTTCTTCCCAATAGCTGGAAGCAAAGCTGATTTATTTTTGACAGACTTCCCATACAAAATTAGCAATGAGACTAATTTGTGCAAAACTGAAGAGCTAAAAGTATAATCAATTATTGTAAATTGAAATTGAGGCAAAATTGTCACGGTGTTACTGGATGAACTATGCAAAATATGAATCGACCAATTGCCAAATACAATATTTCCAATCTCTTCAACCTGCTGATTCCAATCCAGGGTGCCAATATCCCTGTCACCACAATGGTTATTAGAAGGAATCAAAACACTTGATACAACGCTCTAACAATCCAATTAAAGGATCCAATCAAGAGCGTGCTTAACTTCATCCCTAAAAAGGGTAAGTCAACCACTGCTCTGTTCAGTATGAAATTTGACATCGGATCAAATGTTAAGGTCAAATTGCCAAGCCAGTTGTGCACTAAGCAAGCAATAGGGAAACACTCAATAAATAAATAAATATCATAACTTTATATGATCAGACACTGGTCATCCAAACAAAGAATAGATGTAAAAATCCCAAAGCAATTCAAATATCAAATATCAAAACCTCTATCAGCAATACACCCAGGTAGCAATTAGCAAACATGCACTGCACAAACTCCTGTGAACAGCAGTTTTTGGAGGGGTTAATTTTGCTAGTGTACCTTGCAAATCCTGCGTACTAAAACCCATAGCCCATAGTGTAGATAGCACCCAGAAGGCTTACCTCTGTCTCCTGTTTTCCCGAATGGTCCCTTCAGCCGTGATGGAGATGCTGAGGGCTAGGGGACCTGGCCAATGGTGAGAGGTCGCTCAGGGTGCCGGGAAGAGGGAGGGTGGGTGTGTATAGGTGTGTATGTGTAGGTGTGTGTAGGTGTGTGTGCTCTGGCAGACCAGAGCAGTGTGCCCTACCTTGTGTGTGTGAAGGTAGGCACTGAGAACGATCGGAGGGGAGCGGACTGCTTTTGGTCACTCGGATTTAGGCTGTGCACCCACCCCGCACCATGAACACTTTTCACACACCCACACTCACTCACATAGAGAACCTGCTATAACAACAGACACCAGATAGACACACAGAGAGAGAGAGGCACCCCAATGGATGTAATATCTTTATCCCTAACAAGAGTAGCCTTTATTTTTGTGCGTGGCTTAATCAGACCTGCAGTCTGACTCTGAAATATTTGTCTTCCTTTTGCTAAGGTGAAACTCTGGCATGTGCGGCTTTCATGTGTGGTGAGGGATCTACGGGGCCCCAGGACACAATGGGGCCTCTGTGAGGAGCCCCTGTTAGCATGCTGCCGAGAGGAAGTCCCTGCCTGGAGAACGGCCTCAGCTCTCCATCCACTGGTAGCGCTCAGATCAATAGTCAGTTTTATCTTTAATTCCTATTGTTCAAGACTTGGACTGGAAAATCAAATCCTCTATCTGTGGTTAGGTCTTGGTGCAGCACAGTCAAGACCCAATGCAGGCAGAGGTTGGGACTAAATGCAGATCCAGGATCAACTCACTCAATTCTAATTCCTAATGTTAAACCGATAGGAGGGAAATACAAACTGACTTAGGACCTGCTATTCCTACTTCCACCCAGGCTGGAGCAGTAGACACAGACAGGAAGTACCTTACTAGCTTTCATATGTCAGCTTTATCCTACGTTTCTGGTTTTCTGGCCTGAATTTTCACTCGACCCCCCAACCTCTCTCTTTCTTTCTCCCCTAGTAACTGGAGCTTTTGCTGAGTGAGGGAAATTGAACTATGCTGGAATGCTGGGAATCGTTGGGAATTGTGCTACACCTGCTACCAGGAATGGTGGCATACACTGAGTGTACAAAGCATTAGGAACACCTTCCTAATATTGAGTTGCACCCATTTTTTCCCTCAGAACAGCCTCAATTTGTCGGGTCATGGACTCTACAAGGTGTCGAAAGCGTTCCACAGGGATGCTGGTCCATGTTGACTCCAATGCTTCCCACAGTTGTGTCAAGTTGGCTGGATGTCCTTTGGGTGGTGGACCATTCTTGATGCACACAGGAAACTGTTGAGTGTAAAAATTTCCAGCAGCGTTGCAGTTCTTGACACGCTCAAACCAGTGCGCCTGGCACCTACTACCATACCCCGTTCAAAGGCACTTCAATCTTTTGTCTTGCCCATTCACCCTCTGAATGGTACACATACACAATCCTTTGTCTCAATTGTCTCAAGGCTTAGAAATCCTTATTTAACCTGTCTCCTCCCCTTCATCTACATTGATTCAAGTTGATTTAACAGGTTTCATCAATAAGGGATCATAGCTTTCACCTAGATTCACCTGGTCAGTCTATGTCAAGGAAAGAGCAGGTGTTCCTAATGTTTTGTACACTCAGTGTATATCTATGGTCAGGTGGAGTTGTGATTTTACTAACCCCAGCATGATTCTGAGAAGGGATTGGTTTATGATGGTGGTAATTGATTAATCTTTTAATCTGAGACTGTTACCAGCTAAAATATAAAGCTCCAATCAATTAAAAACACCAACCATGAAAAGGAAAGAGATAGATATACAGAAAGAGAGAAAGTTCTGAAGAAAGCGATATGAAGCGAGAGTGATCGATCACAACTGACGTGAGGAATGCTTGCTTCTGGCACACAACAACAATCCCTGTCAATCCTTGCACGTTGTTGCATTATTGAGTGTGTGTGTGCGCCACTGTTGTGGTATTCCTGCAAGAACAGTATTCTGACTGTACTGTCGATTCCATCGAACAAACATTGGATATAGTAGAATGGTGGAAATGTGTCCTGAGAGAGACCTTAAAGTGACGACACTTTCATGATATCATTGCCAGGGCAGTGTATTCAAACTCACAGATTTATCGGCTGACTCAGTGTTTTCTCTGGTCTTCCTCTGGCACTGCTTCTGTGGTGCATATGGGAATGCATTCTGGGAGATCTTAGCTCTCCAACTATTAAGCAGTAAGTCATAGAGACTACCGCAAATATGCACTCAAAGAATGTGTGGTTTCTAGGTCTCTTTGTGAGTGTGATTGAGTCTCTCTGTCTGTGTGTGTCTGTCTGTGTGTGTCTGTGTGTGTGTCTATGTGTGTGTCTCTGTGTGTGTGTGTGTGTATGTCTGTCTGTCTGTGTGTCTGTCTGTGTGTCTGTCTGTCTGTCTGTCTGTCTGTCTGTCTGTCTGTCTGTCTGTCTGTCTGTCTGTCTGTCTGTCTGTCTGTCTGTCTGTCTGTCTGTCTGTCTGTCTGTCTGTCTGTCTGTCTGTCTGTCTGTCTGTCTGTCTGTCTGTCTGTCTGTCTGTCTGTCTGTCTGTCTGTCTGTCTGTCTGTCTGTCTGTCTGTCTGTCTGTCTGTCTGTCTGTCTGTGTGTGTGTGTGTGTGTGTGTGTGTGTGTGTGTGTGTGTGTGTCTGTCTCTGTGTGTGTGTCTGTGTGTGTCTGTGTGTGTCTGTGTATGTGTTTGTGAATGTGTCCATAAAAGGAAAGGTGATTAATGCAACATATTTCTTCCTTTAAAAAGTCGCTCTTTTTCTTTTCATGTTTTTCCAGAAATGTGTTTTATTTAAATCTGAGACTGTATAAGGAATTCACAACAACATATTCTGAACAAAATGTAAGCATTCCAAAACTGTGTTGGCATTTCCAAAATATGTTAGATGACAGTACTATAAAAAGATTGACCCATTGAGTACAAAATGGAATTTCACATTTGAGACAGTGATCAAGAATTCAGTGAATGATTTTAGATTTTTCAACAAAAAATTGACAATTAAATAAATTACCTTAATGTGAAAGAACAAACAATTGCATGTTTGTGGAATTGCATGTGTCTAAAGTTAGCTAAACATATTCATATTCCCAGAGAACAAAAAAAATAAATATGCTTTTCATTTGGTTTCAAGTCTGATATCAACTCGAGTTTTTCTATCAGAAAGGAGCAGTAGAAAATGTTTCAAAAGTATTATTTTGGCTAAGCATTCACAAATGATTATCTTCCATTCAAAGAAAGAGAATGAGGACAATGAGTCGTCAGAAGATGCAACATGCCTTAAATACATTCTGTTTCTAAACAATGTTCCTCTTATCTTGTCCCAATCACATTGTCATAGTCAATTATTGTATTTTTTAGAGTTTCAGAAAAACACAATTTCAAGGTTTTCTACCACTTTCAGACCAATGTGTGCTGCATTGAAGCAGCACACTCATCCATACTGCACCGTTTCATTAAGCACTTGTGACTATAGGACTAACATAAGGCACAACTAGTGGTCAGAAGACAGTAATGCAGTCCAATCACACTATCTACAGATTGTCAGGTGACCTTCACCCAACAAGGTTGAGGTCAATTCCATTCCCATTCTGCCAATTCAGGAGACTCAATTCAAGATTTGAAAATGGTCCATTATTTTCTATTGACCAATTCATTGCATGAATTCTTAAATTAACAGAGTTTGATTTGACCCCAACCCTAGCGTCTAATATGTGGTTTTCAACATAATTATGCAAAAGTCCATATAGATTAGCATAGTCACTTCCATTCGTTAGTAATCATCTGCCCTTGGATCCAGGAGACTATAGCTAGATGCGATTGGCTGGTGGAAGTGTCTTCTTTATATGACAATGGACCTGAGGAGACGGAAGCACACCATAAGGTCTCTGGGGATTGGTGGCTTGATCTCATTGCCATCGAGACGGAGGTAGCGAAGTTTAGGAGCGGTCTCAGTGGCATAGTCCTCCAGAGCATCAGCTGACACAGGGCAGATATCAGATCCATTTACATCTGCAATTGCAAATACACCATCTTAGCAAAACAGTACTCCAACTCATCAAAGACAATTTACACTGATTATAATAATACAATTATCTGGATTTTAAACCAATCATCAGTTAACCATCCAGGCAGTCAGTCAATGTATCAATGAAACTAGAACAGTGTCAAAAACGTACTCTTGATCTGGTTGTGGTCCAGGTGGAGGTGTTCCAGGCCTGAGGGGATGATAGGAACCTGAGTTAACTGGTTATGGGACAACTGCAGGTCCAGGATGCTGGAGATGTTGAACACGTTCTTGGGCAACCCATCGTTTCCCAGCTTGTTGCGGTTGAGCCTGAGGAAGGCCACCTTGGGCAGACCCTTGAAGTAGTCGGCGGGGATCTTCTCAATGGCGTTGTTGTCCAGGAAGAGCTGGGTGAGGGTGATGGGGAGGCCCAGGGGCATGGTGGTCAGCTGGTTCTTGGCCAGGTTAATCTGGACCAGGTTGCTCAGGCCCTTCAGGCTCACCTCGGTCACCGCGTCATCCTGGAGCTTGTTCCCCTGCAGTTCCAGCAGTGTCAGCCGATCCAGACCTGAGAACACCCCGGCGGGGATCTTGGAGATGCGGTTGCGGGAGAGGCGCAGCTGCTCCAGGCTGGAGGGCAGGTTGGCTGGGACAGAGCTCAGCAGGTTGTCATCCATGTAGAGGTGAACCAGGCGGGGCATGGAGGCCAGGGCACCCTCTTCCATTCCCTCGCTGGTGATGCGGTTACGGTTTAGGTTGATCCAGCGGAGCTGCGTGGCGTTGCGGAATGCGTCTGTTGACAGCACGTCGATGAGGTTGTTCTGCAGGTACAGATACCAGGTGTGTGGGGGGATGGTGGGGATGCGCTTCAGCGCCTTGTTGTCGCAGTAGACGGCGTTGGGGAAGCTGGGCGGGCAGCGGCACTCTTTGGGACAGGCCTGTACCTGGGCCATGTAGTCTTCGTAGGACATGTCCGGGCTCTGGGCCAGAGCGGGACTGACCAGAAGGAGGAGAGAGGAAAGGGCCAGGAGAAGCGCCATCTTAACACTCTGGGGTAGAGGAGGGAGAAAACACATCAGATGAGACTGACTCTTATGCAAAAACACAGACACAAATACAGGCACAGACACAAACACTGAAGACAAGATCAAGCACATGGTTGAACAAACACACCGACCCAAATACAGTGGCTTGCAAAAGTTTTCACCCCCCTTGGCATTTTTCCTATTTTGTTGCCTTACAACCTGGAATTAAAATGGATTTTTGGGGGGGTTGTATCATTTGATTTACACAACATGCCTACCACAATATTTGTTATTGTGAAACAAACAATAAATAAAAAAACTGAAAACTTGAACGTGCATAACTATTCACCCCCCCCCCAAAATCAATACTTTGTAGAGCCACTTTTTGCAGCAATTACAGCTGCAAGTCTCTTGGGGTATTTCTCTATAAGCTTGGCACATCTAGCCACTGGGATTTTTGCCCATTCTTCAAGGCAAAACTGCTCCAGCTCCTTCAAGTTGGATGGGTTCTGCTGGTGTACAGCAATCTTTAAGTCATACCCCAGATTCTCAATTGGATTGAGGTCTGGGCTTTGACTAGGCCATTCCAAGACATTTAAATGTTTCCCCTTAAACCACTCGAGTGTTGCTTTAGCAGTAAGCTTAGGGTCATTGTCCTGCTGGAAGGTGAACCTCCGTCCCAGTCCCAATCTCTGGAAGACTGAAACAGGTTTCCCTCATGAATTTCCCTGTATTTAGCGCCATCCATCATTCCTTCAATTCTGACCAGTTTCCTAGTCCCTGCCGATGAAAAACATCCCCACAGCATGATACTGCCACCACAATGCTTCACTGTGGGGATGGTGTTCTCTGGTTGATGAGAGGTGTTGGGTTTGCGCCAGACATAGCGTTTTCCTTGACGGTAAAAAGCTCAATTTTAGTCTCATCTGACCAGAGTAGCATCTTCCATATGTTTGGGGAGTCTCCCACATGGCTTTTGGCGAACAACAAACGTGTTTGCTTATTTTCTTCTTTAAGCAATGGCTTTTTTTCTGGCCACTCTTCCGTAAAGCCCAGCTCTGTGGAATGTACGGCTTAAAGTGGTCCAATGGACAGATACTCCAATCTCCGCTGTGGAGCTTTGCAGCTCCTTCAGGGTTATCTTTGGTCTCTTTGTTGCCTCTCTGATTTAATGCCCTCCTTGCCTGGTCCGTGAGTTTTGGTGGGCGGCCCTCTCTTGCCAGATTTGTTGTGGTGCCATATTCTTTCAATTTTTTTATAATGGATTTAATGGTGCTCCATGGGATGTTTAAAGTTTTGGATATTTTTTTATAACCCAACCCTGATCTGTACTTCTCCACAACTTTGTCCCTGACCTGTTTGGAGAGCTCCTTGGTCTTCATGGTGCCGCTTGCTTGGTGGTGCCCCTGGCTTAGTGGTGTTGCAGACTCTGGGGCCTTTCAGAACAGGTGTATATATACTGAGATCATGTGACAGATCATGTGACACTTAGATTGCACACAGGTGGACTTTATTTAACTATATATGTGACTTCTGAAGGTAATTGGTTGCACCAGATCTTATTTAGGGGCTTCATAGCAAAGGGGGCGAATTCATATGCACACACCACTTTTCCATTATTTATTTTGTATAATTTTTTGAAACAAGTTATTTTTTTCATTTCACTTCACCAATTTGGTCTATTTTGTGTATGTCCATTACATGAAATCCAAATAAAAATCCATTTAAATTACAGGTTGTAATGCAACAAAATAGGAAAAATGCCAAGGGGGGTGAATACTTTTGCAAGGCACTGTACACAGATGTTGAGATCTCTGCATATTCCAAGAAAACAGAACACTACGCAGAGAGATCAGATAACTCAACATGGACTGGATTGAGGACTAGGTATTAGCACCACATTGTGACCTATCCTGTTTTTTTTAAGCAAGTCATGTTTCCGCATTTGCATTGGACATGGTACATTAAGTGCTGAAGTGTTCATCAAGCTGGCTTAAGTTCATTCACATGCAAACAACAACGATTCCAGGTGGCTCATTCATTTAGTCCCTTATTGAAAACATTGCCATTCCTTTCAGATCTCTAGCAATGTAGCCCTGTGTTTCGAGTAGCCATTGGCTAGCCCAAACTAGCCATAGCTAACCTCAATCCCCCTGCATTGACGCGAAGGTCATTAGCATTCGAGTTTACATGAAGTTAATGAGCGTTGGCACATCATGTGGTCAGGCCAGTTGTCCACTGGGTCCATGGGAGATTATAAGATTTCTTAAGGACAGGATGCAGTGCCAGGTCAACTAATGGCCTTACACGAATATTCCTGACTGGAAGCTAATCTGTAAAATCGGCACATGCAGGAGGCAGTTGAGGTTGGCCTGGGGTTGGGTGTTCCTTTAGGAATAAAACACAGAGCAGACCAAATCCACCTGACTGTGTTGTGAATGAAGCACAATCTGTTAAACCTGACATTGGCAATTAATTAAAATTCCCGCCAACACACCTAGCCATGGAATGCCATACACATATTTATGCATACAGTACACAGATGCGTATAAAAGCAGTTGAATTCTCCATGCAATCATGAAAGAGAAAGTGGAATTAACCCACATAGAAGAGGCAAAACATTGAGAAAAGAGGAACTGGGGATGATAGTGAGACAGGAAGCCGAAGTGACAAAGAGATTGACAGAGGCAGACAAAAACTCAGAGGCATCTAAACTCTGCCTTAGCACATCCACCCATCCTGTCCCAGAATACTTGATTCCTCTCTGTCATCTGGTGCTGGTTTAAATTCTTGGTGTGTGCTCCACACATTGGTCTGGAACTCATTTTCAACAGGCCTGGCTTTGCCATGGCTAGGCCCACATCAAAGACGTAGCCACCTCACCTGGTTCTAGGGCCCCTGGCACCTCGTATCTCACTGTATGGGGCCAAAGATCATTGAACCCACCCCACTATGGAACATCATGTGTCCATGCCCTTAACCTTAGAGACACAACTGTTGAGTTCCACCTGACCATAATTAGAGCTGCTAGTATTTAGTGTGGCCAAGGTCAGGAAAGTAGGCATATAAGTTACTTCTACTTATCACATTTGTCAAATGTGAAATTCCAACTGACAACTGGTTAAATAGATATATACATGTTAAGCAAAGTGCTGTATAACCACTAAAAGACCATAACTGGAATGTCTCCAGAGCCTCACTCTTTCAAAGCATCAAAGCCATTCACAAGCTGTGGCTTTTCAGTGCAAGATTACCTACAGTATAGTACAAATGAACGCAGAAAATTGCCAAATAAAGGTCCAGCCAATGTTCCCCAACTGTCACCTCCCAAAACTGAACTCACATTGCCTTTAAAAAATACCATTAGTTTGCAAGCAAAGTCCCATCTATACCTACTTTCCCCCAAACTGGAAACCCAATTCAATCGTCCACTAGAACCACACGTACCTTTGAGTTCAAGTGATTTTCCAAAGTCTGTCTTTGTGTCCTGTTTCTGCCTTGCTCAATAAATGTGGTAGCAACTGCAGTCCCAAACTCAGAGAAACACCGCTCACCTCCCCTGTATTTGTACCATCGGTGCCTTCATTCAGTTGGTGGGAACCCTTCATTGACAGTTACACTGTAGTTCCTCTCGGCCAATCAGAGGCCTGTAATCAGAGGTCATAATCCATGCAGTGACATTTTCCATGTTAAGCCTGCGGCGGTGTGGTAGCCGAGGCCTCGAAACTTGGCCCACTTCAAAATCAGGCTAATACGGGCCTATGCTCACTATGAAACCACCCTAACCCTTCTGTGCACTCCCCCTTCTCCCACGGTTGGCACTAGGCACCATCTCTCTGTTTATGTCCTTCAGGTAAATGTCCTGCTGAGATCTCTAATGTTCTTAGTGCTAATCAGGCAGTGATGTCTGAATGGAACGACTCCACTCTGTTTGAAAGAAACAGATCTACGTCTTCTCCCCATCTTTCTGTGCAGAATGGTGTGATAGCAATCCATGTGTTCCTCATAATAGTGACTTAGCCATAAAAACCCAGGAGAAATATGATCACAGTGACTCCTTGAGTTGTCATGATAAGGGATATACTCACGACAATTGGATTGCCCTACTCACAACGTATGGCTTTGGCAATGTCTTTCAGTCCTTGCAGTTCTCTGAATTGGAATTCAGAGAACTGCAAGCAAATGATACACTGTGGGAACAAATTGGCTTTTTCTAATGATTCTGATTTGTTCATATCCTCTCTGATGCGGACCCACCAATAATCTTCTAGCACAATCGGACACAATCAGACTCTGACCTTAAAAGACATCAAACCCACTACAATTAAGTACACATTGGTCTGTCCAGACATGAGACTTAATGGGGTGGGGTTAGAGTAAAATTAAGGGGATTTAAAAGGTGTAGAGTGGGTTGGCAAAGTGTTGTCAAGTTAGCATTGGGGTTGGGCTAGCTAGTTAAGTTGGGGTGGGTAGGTTATTTTGTTTCGCTCATTCTCATTTCCTTTGACGCTGCCATAGGCCCACCTAATACCTTGGGATAATCCCATCTGATTGGCTTGTCCCAGAGCTAGCCTTAGACCATTAGGGATTGTCTCGTGTCTGGCAAGGTGCTAACGCACACTACAGTCACTCCTCAACACAATGGAAACACTGGAGCTGCGAGAGGTATAAACAAGACTCTAATCCCTTAAAACAATTCAGCTACCTTTAATCCCCAACACATTTAAACTGACTACACATCAAGGGTCAAAGGGTAAAGGGCAAGGTACTGGCTAAATGAATGAACAGTGACTGTGCGTCAATCATGGCGCCCATCTCCTCACAGGGTCTGTTACCTCAATGGGAACAGACACTACCGTACATGTTGCTTTCACTCAAAAATAGAAAAATCCTAAAAAGACTTAGCTGTTGTCAAAACTTAGAAGTTGCAAATCAGTGATGCATATTGTTGACATCATGTCCATTTATAACCAAAATATATCAGTATCTGTATTTGCACAAAATAAATAAGACTA